TATATATATAAAATATACCAAAAATATGCCGGCATGAATCTCAAGAAAAACGAACGGCTCAAAATAAATGAGTGGCCGACCGCATCACCGATCGTCCGCAACCACTAACGACGAACGGTTTTCAAACGACCGACGGATATCCCCAGCAATCGACGATACAAAACTCTTCGATTCCCAGACAAATAGGACACCTGTCTTCAAGACATGCCATAGGACCCCAGATGATGGCTAGCTTTGCCAATGGCTCTACAACGGATCAGATGCTGACGAAGGAACGTGAAACAAACGACCGGCAAGCTTCTCACCAGTTTTGTCTTATTTCTTGAATATACCAAAAAGCCCCTCAAAAAATTAATGATTAGGGGGTTGATCTGTACTCTCGTAAAACCATGACTCTATAGCTATAAATAGGCCTTAAAATAAAAAGGTTACGCACTCTTTATTGTTCTCTACTATACTCTCTTTTATCTATTTTTCTGTTGTAACGTTTTATATCTTGAGCGTGTTTACTAGACATTTTTTGATGATAATGAATTAAGTGACAAAATATATTTAAAAAATCAAGAATACCTACGAGATTGGTAGACTAGTTAGAGGCGAAGAGACGAAAGAAGTGTGAAAAAGAGAGTGAAGATGAGGCATCGAGAAGCAAACGGATGATACATAGAAAAACATTTTAGAAAAAAAAAAAACTTGTGAGAAAGAAGCAACAACCTTCACAAATTATAACCGTATAAAAAAGCAACTAGTTCCCAAGGAATAGAACGAAGAACCATTAGCACTAAATTCACAATTATTAGAACTAGCAAGAAAAGTGAGCACTCATGTGTAAGTTATTGTGGAAGATGCTAAACCAAACCATGGAATTTAATCCAAGATTTTCTAAGCGGGAACTGAGCACGTCTATGGAGCGATGCGGCAAAGCAGCATAACGTTTGTGTTTTACTATGAATTTACTCTTCATAGGCAAGCAATATGCATGAAGCGTGTTGCTTCACTTCGCTCCTAAAGCATGCTTTTAATAACAGTGATGCTATGATGATTACTATGATGATTAAATTTTGTCAACCACGGCCTAAATTTTGAAAAACATCAAGAGATTAGGTTGTGTGATAAACATAAGACTTAAATGTCAACGATGGACATCCCCAGAAAAGCTCCATGGAAATAGTACAGCTCACAAGGTTCCTAAGCTGTAGAAAGTTAATTGAATAGAAAACGTTTGCTAGAATATGCATGCACTTATTGTATCAACGTGGAAATTTTCATTGCAGCAGACAAACAAAACCTTCCACCTAATTAAACATCTAAAACATTCTTCGGTGGCTTTCAAACTTTAAATTTATCAAAGATCAGTAAGAAAATATATCTTAAATCAGCTGTCAACTTATATTGAAAAGGCGACCCTGAGAAACATCTAGAAACTTCAAAAAAGAATTAGGCTTGGTTCAAGTTGTTCATAAATTTTAGGAGTGATGGTTTCTTTACAACAAGAATGTTGGCATTTCTGTCAGAATCTAGCATAGTTCCATGAACTATGCATAATATTGTTAGAGATAAAATAAACTTGCACAATTTAATACCTGCAAAGATGCATATGACGAAGCCGGTTCAAATGGCACCTTTAACGCAACATGTTAAGCATCTTGAGATCAGCAAATGACAAAATAAATCAGAAACTCAATTTAGAACAACACATTACAATATCCAAAAAGCAAAAAATTAACCTGTTGAATTATATGACAATTTATGAAGATCCAGATCGAGATTACTTGAATACTAGTCATTGTAAGAAAGCTTCAAATCAATTTATGTTGTTTTACCTTTTCTTCTTGTGCGTCGAATCTTCATCCATGTTTCATGAAGATGCCTTAATGGTTTTTACTTCATTCAAAAATCTTTAGTCACCAAAAGTCCCTACATGAGCATAATCCCTCTCTAAAACAATGGAATCGATTGCGATCCCTCAACAATATTTCTCTCTTGAAAGCCTTTGAAATCAACTTCATCACATCATGGCAATCCCTGCAAACTCTTAAATTTTTCACTATTCTTATGACCTCCTCTTCACCCATTCTTGCTATTCCAAATGCCACTGCAAGCTTCTCGCTGTGCCTCACAATCGCATTTTCCTTCTCCTCCTCTTCAATGTCATGTAAGACATTTGCAACCTGCGGTAAATACCCCTCCATCCGAACCCTAGACATAATCTCTTCGAGCTTCATCAAAGCCTCTTGACACACATTGCTCCGCACATCGCTAGCAACAAAGCTATAAATGACCTTATTCACCTCAACTGCACTCCATCCAGGATCTTTCCCCATGCTTTTCTCGCTCATAGACTTTCTAACATCAATAACATCATTCCATTTAGCAGCCTTGGCATAAACATTCGAAAGCAAAACATAGTCGCTAGAATCATTTGGTTCAAGCTCTTCAAGTCTCATTTTTACATCCTCTGCTAACCTGACGTTGCCATGGATGCTGCAAGCCCCAAGCAGGGTTCTCCAAATGATAGAATTTGGTTTTATTGGCATATGTTTTGCAAACTCATAAGCCTTCTCTAACATACCTGCTCTGCCATAGAGATCAACAATGCAACCGTAGTGCTCTACTGATGGCAAGACACCATATTCATCACCCATTCTTTGAAAAAGCTCAAAACCTTGCTCAACCAAACCGGAGTGGCTGCAGGCATAGAGGACTGCGACAAAGGTTATCCAATCAGGTTTAATTCTCGACTTAGTCATTTTATGAAAGAGTTCAACTGCTTCTTCTCCGTGACCCTGCATTGCCAATGCAGCAATCATCGATGTCCAGGAAACAACGTTCTTCTGCTCCATCTCACAATAGAAGACCTGCTTTGACATATCGATCTTCCCACACCTCGCATACATGTCAAGAAGTGCATTTGACACGGCCATGATGAAATTCATCCCTGTCTTCTCAATAAGCCCGTGAAGAATCTTCCCAGATTCAAATGCCCCTGTCTGTGCGCACGCCGATAGGACACCGGTCAAACTCACCTCATTCGGCATTATCCCATCCCTCATTAAGTCCCTAAAAAGGCCAAAAGCTTCCTGAAAATAGCCATGACTAGCAAAGCCCACAATCATGGTGCTCCAAGAAACCTGATCCTTCCGATCCATCTCCCCAAACAACATTCGAGCCTCCCCAAGCTCGCCAACTTTCATATACCCTGCAAGCATAAGATTCCAAGAAGTGAGATTCCTCACAGGCATTTGTTCAAACACTCGACCTGCGCCAGCTACATCTCCCGAGCGGAAATATGCCGTCGCCATAGCATTCCACGCCACAGCGTTTGGATGAGACAGTTCGCCGAACACCTTCTCTGCAGAAACGATGCAGCCGCATTCCGCGTACAAACTGACCATCGTTGTTGCCACATAGAGATGGGCATCGAGGCCGTAATGAATGGAGTGGGAATGGAGCTGAGTGCCGGCGAATAGAGACCTGGAGTTCGCGGCAGCCTTAAGGAGAAAGGCGAAGGAGAAGCTGTCTGGGGCTAGTGAGTGCCGCATCATGTCGGCATACGTGATGAAGGAGTGGTACGGTTGAGGCGACTCGGCGAGACCACGGATCACGGTGTTGAACATGAAAGTGTCAGGGATAGGGAATTGGGCAAGGAAGTGGAGAGCATATTCGAGACCATCAGAGAGGGTGACAGCTGCAAGTAGCAGGAATTTTCCGGTGAATAGGATGCCGGAGTCGGCGCCGGTCTTGGAGGCAAAGGCGTGGGCTTGCTTGAGATGGAGCACGGACTTGCATTGTTCCAGCAAATAGAGGCATTGCAGTTGGAGGGTGCTGCTCATGTTCTAGAGCCACAAAAACCAGGCCATCCCCTAGCAATTTCTTTAAGGGTGCAAAAATTAAACTTAGCATATCATTCAATTTTAATCAATGTTCAAATTCCATCATCGAATTCCTGTTATCATTGGCTTTTTTTTTTTTTTATAAGAAACCTTCCAAATTCAAATTCAATATCATTGAGTGATAATTTTAACATGTTTAAAAGCAAAGTGACTGTCTCGACTGATGAATCCAATGATGTTTAAGTTGGTTCAATGCAGGTTCAATTAACCCGGGATCAAACCATTGAAGCATAATTAGATGCATTGAATCATCAATTAAATTGTCAAATGATTTCCAAAATTGACAAATTTATAATCGAATTGAGTGTCTCAACTAAAGGAATCCAATGACTCTAATATGGCTTGATTTTGAGGTTATTAAGGAACCTAAATCATTAAAAAAAATCTATGATTGAGAAGGATCAACATGGATCGTCTGGTCAAATGGCTAGAAAAATTATTATAAGGGGATCATAGAACAATATTATCTTTTGTCAAGCTTTTTCTTATTCGTAACTGATTTAGTCATCTTTTGATATTCTTGGAACTCTCAGTCGACAGACTGTTTAGTCTGTTGACCAAGCCGGCGTTAGTCTACAATATTACATTGGTGTCGGTCGGTTTTTCTCCTCGGAAGGTGGTTGGCTTTGTGTGAATTATTTGATCAACCTTAGCATGATCGAATGTCATGTTTTGTTTCTTGGTGATCTTTGAGAAGTGTTGAGAGAGCCTCGTCTTGATGCTTGTGAGATTGCGTTCAGCACACAACCTTTATTCTCAGTCAACCTATGTGGATCTTCTATCGATCGTCATTCTTTCAGTTGGTTGTTTGCTAGTCGAATGGTAGTTCTTCAATCAGTCGACTTTATGAATACTCAACTTTTGGTCTAGACCGTCAGATTGCCTCGCCTTATCTGATGGTTGTTACTAGAAACACAATAGTAATGCCAATTACTTTTTCAAATTGTTGAAATAAGGATATCAACACTTAAGAAGAAAATGTAAAAAAAATTTGAAATAATGAAATCAAGAAAATTTGTGATGAAGACTTTCATTTTGTTCGTTCGGCTTTTTTATTATTTTATGAAGTAGATAATTTGGTACTATTTATTTTGGAGAGTTACATACCTACTACCCTATTCCTCTGTATTAACATATCAATCACAAAAATTTTAATTTTTACTTACAAGCCACTCAATTTATGTCAAAAATATTGGAAACCGATGGTCTAAATGCAAAAAATTGAAATTCGGATGGTTGATATATTCTTAAAAAGGAATTAGGTGGTACTTGGTAGGAATGTAAAAGCCCCTTTCTAGTCTAAATTTGGAATTTTTGGCCATATTCAATGTTAGATATCGCAATTTCTTGGATTGTAATCGAGGAATCACAAGAACAGTCTGAAAGTGTAGTATTGGGATGACTGGCCTACCGAGAACATTATGGAGACAGTCTTGCAGAAATTGATATTGTGCGGGAATCAATTGGGGTGTAGTGAAGGCGAAGTTAGCATTATAAACACAGTTATTTTTATTAAACCAGCTGGAGCGAGATTGATAAAACCACGTACCCCTCCGGTATCCGCGGGCTCCTCATTTGCCCAATAGGCAAAATCAATTTTATTTAATCACAGAGTCCGGATTCAGATAATTTAATCATTCTAGTGCTTATCATTTCACTGTAGTTGTGAAATAAGGAGGAATTTGGTCCCACGGTCTTCAGGATTTGTTTATCCAACTTCATGTCAAATTATTTTAAAGAAAAAGTTGTTGGGACGGACTGCAAGCCGCCGTTGGTTTATAGAACCAGAGTATACTCTCAAAACCAGCAGCAACTTTGTCCTTCTGGTTGTTCTCCTGCCCAAATCTCGGGCTTTTATAAATAAATCAATTCCTGACCCCTTCTTCCTATCAACCAAACGAACTGAGCAAGCAATCGAGCAACAACAGCCTTCTTCCTCTTCTTCTTCTTACTCTACCTCCTTTTCCTCAAACAATCCAAGTGAGCAGCAGCCATGGCTTCAGCGAGCAGAGCTTCTTGGATTGTGGCGGCCAGCATTAGCGCTGTGGAAACACTGAAAGATCAAGCCGGTCTTTGCAGATGGAACTATGCTATGAGGTCTCTGCACCAAAAGGCAACAAAAGAAATGGGTTCTTTTTCACAGACAAGAAAAACACCTTCTTCTTCTTCTTCTTCTTCTTCTTTGATGGTTGGAAGCAGAGGCTTGGTTAGCAAAGCAGAACAAACTAAGAGAGCAGAGGATTCTTTCAGAAAAGTCATGTACTTGAGCTGCTGGGGTCCAAATTAAGCAGTCGATTACGAGTGACTGTAGAAAATTCAATAATGGGACTTCATTAGATTTAGGATTTGGTTTATTTTCTTAATTTTAATGTATTTATCATGTTTAAATAAAAATATTAATCTCTCTAAGAAGAATTACCACTGCAAGTATTTTGGATCAATCTTTCCAGCGCATGTTGCTACCCATAAGCCTTCTCACTCAATGAGATTTACAGTTATCTTGATTTGCATACAAAAATATTTAAAAAAGAAATACTCCATAAATCAACTTATATGTACAAAATTTACTTCATAAGAATTACGTCCTCTTCGGCGTCGAGAAAAGGTTGTTCATGCCCTACACATTGCTCAATCCAGCACTCCAACTAAAAATCTCTTTTTTGACCCCTAGAAGAAACACTTAGACCTTTGCATGGAATGAGCACCAGTGTACTTCAAACGGGAGAGATTTTGTTGTTGTTGGAAAAGTGTTGGGGAATAAACAACCTTAATGCTTGTTCTCTCTTCTATTTTTTTCTCTGAAATGTTATGATTCTTGTCCAATTTCAGACATTGCTTCGCAGGGACAAGTCTGGGTCAGGATAAAATTTACCTTCGCCTGGATAACTTTGGGTCAGAAGAAAATATTATGGTGGATGTAAAGTTACGCCCAAACTCTAATTGAAATTTGTCATGTGAGATTCTGCAAAATATTATTTTCTCGTCTAAGAAATGAGGAAGCCCGACCCGACCCACATTGATTGATGTGTAAAGCGTGTAGCTTGTGTTTGAAAATCTTTTATGCCGCTTCAAAATTGTCTTAATTTCTTCTTTTAGGGTTTAATTTTAGAGTTTCATCTTTTTCTTTCTGTCGCCTTCAACATTTTGTGTTACAAATCAAAAGACACAAGCATTTGCAAACCGTAGTACAGGAGTTTTCAAATATTCATGCATTTCGTTTACTCATTTCTACTCTTCAAACTAAAGGTGTAAAAGAACCAAACACAAACGAACAAAGCTTGTGTTCGTGTTCAGTTCGTTTGAAATTTAGTTTGTTTGAAATAAACTCGTGTTCAATGATTCAAATCCAACATTTTACATCTATTTTTTTTCTGTTCGTGTTTGTTTCTTAACGAACGAGTCGAACATGAGCCGAACACGAGCCAGTTTGACATCCCTAATATTAATATATATAAATAATATATTATATTAATTATATAACTTATATTATATAAATATAATATATATATATTAATATATTACTAATATAGTGTATTAATATATTATTATTATTAACTTATTATATATTATAATTTATAAAATTTATTTTTTTTAAATATCATAAATTTTTATATATGATTATTTTAAATTATTTTATATTTCGAACAATAACGATTCGAGCACGAATGAACGCATCACTGTTCGTGTTTGGTTCGTTTAACTAACCGAACGGAAAAAAAAAATTATTCACGTTCGTCGCGTTTACTTATCGAACGAATCGAACACAAATTCATTGACGAACTGAACACGAATTGTTCACGAACAACGAGCTTTTTTGACAGCCCTACTTCAAACTACTTAAATTTTAATAATCGATTTTGTCGTAAATACAGTAGTCATCTTCTTCTTGTGATGTCTTTTATCACAACAAATAAAAATTTATTTATTCGTACTTACCAGATAACCCATGTCATGTTCTATATCATTCTTCTAGGGAGATAAATAATGCAAGATAGATAATTTTTTTTTATTTTGTACTCATGTATTTTTAGAGTAAAATAATGTTATAGAGTATAATTCAACTTTTAATTGATTATCTAGATGAATTTTTATCGAATACAATCATATTGTCTTCGTATGTTTTTAGAGTAAATCAATGTTCTGAAGTAGGCTTTAATATCTAATTAATCATTTGTTCAATTTTTTTTTATACAACCATATTGTACTAGGTTTTTCTAGAGTGGCGCAATATTTTGAAGCTTGAATTGATTTTCGATAAACTTCATGGGTGATTCTTTTCCAGTACAACCATTTTTTTCCTGATATAAAATAATTTTATGAAGTATATTTAGATACTTGATTGACCACCTGGATGATTTTTTGTTCAGAATAATCATATTGTACTCATATTTTTTTTTCATAGTAAAACAATATTCTGAACCAAGTTTTGATAATTGATTGACCACCTGTTTTATTTTTTATCAAGCAACCATATTGTACTCATATTTTTTTATAATAATGTTTTGAAGTTTGATTGGACATTTGATTGACCTCATAGTTCATTTTTTGTCTAATGCAACCATGTTGTGCTCATCTTTTTATAGAACATATTTGATTTTTTTGTCAAGAACAACCATGTTGTTATATATATATATTTTAATAGAGCAATATTTTGAAGCTCGATTCGATATTTTATTGACCTCCTAGATGATTCTTTGTCTAGCAAGACAATATTGCACTCATATTTTTTAGAAGAAAAATTATTTTATGAAGCATGATTAGATATTTGATTGCCCAACTGTTTGATTTTTTGTCTAGTACAATCATATTGTACTCATATTTTTAAGAATAAAATCATTTTATGAAACACTGCCGTTGTCGGTCACAAGCCCGGATGCGAAAATTGGAGGGTTGTGTTAGGTAGTTGACAGCCAGCATAAAACTTGTCGGAAAAAAATAATGACATATGATCTTAATTTACTAGAACTAAATGAAAACATGACACTAAATATGACACAATGGAGAAAAATGATTCATGTAGCCGACCCCAAGTAGTGGGAGTAAGGCTTTGTTGTTGTTGTTGTTGTTGTTGTAAAATCATTTTATGAAGCATGATTAGATATTTGATTGCCCAACTATTTTAATTTTTATTCAGTACAACTATGTTCTACTCATGTTTTTTTTTTAAGTAAAACAATGTTCTGAAACAAGATTTGATAATTGATTGACCACTTATTTTATTTTTTGTCCAATACAATCATGTTGTACTCATATTTTTTTTTTGTTTTAACAGAGCACTGTTCTAACACTTCATATGATATTTGATTGACCCCTTTCATGATTTTTTGTTTAACACAACCATATTGTACTCATATTTTTTTAATGCAACCAAGTACGAACAATGATATTCTCGGCTTGGCTCAATTACAACCCTAGTTGTAGCTTCTCACCCATGCTTTACTCGCATGTCTTGTTTCAGGGAAGGCTTAGGCTTAGGTTGAGCAGAGACTTTGCATTACTTGTGAAACGTCGATTTTAGATATGTCTATATCTTTGAACTTTATTTTTTGACAATCATTGTGATGTTTAGCTTTGTTTGATGATGGAGAGATTAAACCATGATTGCCTCTAACGTTACGCTTGCGCTTTCCCCCAAATCGCTTGAACTGCTCCTTATGTGCAATGATGACATTGTTTGCATTGATTTGAGCCTCAACACGGTGCATAATGTCAACATAAGAACGAACTGTCTCCCGCATCAATGATGAGTAGAAGGGTCTTGGTCGGAGCCCCCCCGAGGAAGACTCATCTAATTAACTTCGGATTCTTTCCCGAAATCTGACGAGCTTCAGCGGAAAACTTACAGAAGTTGTTCACAAGCGACTCTCCTTCACTTTGGCAAATTCCTTAGAGATGAGATGAATCATTGATGATCTTTGGTTTGTCATGAACTGTTTCACAAAGAGTATGACAAACTCATTAAAGATGTTTATAGTGTCCTCTGGCGGAGAGTAGAACTAGGTGTTAGCTTGTCCTGTAAGAGTGGTCGGGAACACTTGACACACAAGCGCATGCTAAAAGTGCATGATGGTTCGATAGTGATCAATATGCTCATAAGGGTCAGTTATCCCTTCGTAGGTGTCGTTGTTTGGAAGATTGAAGCATGTTAGAATGGGGTGCTGGAGAATCGCAGCCACTAAGGGAGAAGATTCATGGACGTTACAGTGAGTGGGGAAGCGATCCTTTTTCTCTAGGAGGAAATATTCTCGGACGAGGCATCATAACTCATTACGAATGACATCAACTGGAATGGAAGAAAAACGTGTCAAACTGATGGGTGCTAAAAAATTTACAGCATTAGAGTAGCAGGTTATCACCTTAGTGTGTTACGAAGATTCAACACACACTCAAAAAAGAGAAAACAACTAATAATTACACAAAAATTTTTACGTGGAAATTTTAAAAAGGAAAAACCATGGGCCTGAACTAGCCAAAGAGCTATACTACAAAAAGATAATTGCAGTTGTTATCACTTGTCCCACATGCAAGAATTTGTTACTAGGTTTCTCATGTTACAACATTGACGTGCTGATAAATTTGTTGCTAGTAACGGGCAAAGACCGATAGTGATTGGCGACGTCCGGTCAGTGGTGGTCGACAATGGATGGCGGTGATCAATTGCAGTCGGAGATGGCCGACGAAGATTGACATTGATCGACGTAATCGGCGGTGATCGAAAGTGGTCAATGGCGATTGAAAAAAGACGACGACGGTCGACAATGGTCAACGGGGGTCAGCGACAGTCAATGACGGTCGATAGTGGCGGTGTAGAACTTCAACTCCTTAAAACTTCATTCTTTCCCTCAGATCTCAAACTCTCATCCTTCTCATGAGAGGGTGTGACAATATTTATAGTGTTCTGGGTGTAATTAATGCTAGAATATGAACCATTTTAATCAGACGGTCAAGAGAACTTATTTCGATCCGACGACGTTTAATGGACATTTAAGTGCCTTAATGATGTCGGAATGGAGGGATATTGGGCTTGTTGAATTTGTCTCTGCAAGGCGCTTGGTTTAATTATAAGCTTTTTGATTCAAAATTTGTTACACATTTCAAATATGCTCGGAAAGCTTCTAAAAGTGATTTAATGGTTTGATCTGTGTTTAATTTAACTCGGATTGAACAAATTTTGGTATCATTTTATCCTTCTCGTTAAACTAATCATTTTGATTATAAATTTGCTGAAATCATAACTTTGATTGACTTTTAATCAAATACGAATATTTATTGTTGAACTTATTTTCTCTAAATTTGTGTGATATTATAGACATTAGATTTGGTTGGTGGCCTATCAATTAGTCATGCATACTATCATTACAACATCACTTAAGTATCTTTATTTTTGAATTTTTTTCTACATTGCCAACTATATAATGTAGTCAACGTCACGTGGATTGAGTTCGCTCATATAATCCATAAATATAATCCACCGATACATTAATCCAGTCCCGTATTTCAGCGGCTAATTATTCACACATATACCAGCTGGCGCGAGATGGTGGTTTTGATAAATCCATGAACTCCGGACCTCCGGTATCCGCGGACCACTTTATTTATAAATGCGAAAATAAATTATATTTAAATAAGTAAAGTTCCGCTACAAACAGGCAATTATGTTGATTTATAGATAATATATGACTCATTTGGATAAATTTAATATTTCTAATGCTTATCATTCTGCTGATGAATGCGGTCCCATACTCCCACGGTAAGCAAACAGGATTTTTTTAGTCACGTTGTCATGTCAAATTATTTCAGAAGCATTCAAAGCTGGGGCCCACCTCCAGCCGCTGCTGGTAAATGGCACCACTCTCAAAACCAGCAACCATTGTGCTCATTGTTTTGTATGTCATTTCCTTCATAGATCCCAAGCCTTTATTAATCAACCCCTGACCTCTTCTTAGGCCCATCAACCAAACCAACCGAGCAACCAACGAACAACCACACTCTTCTTCTTCTTCTTCAACGTCCTTTCCCTCAAACCATCCAATTGAGAAGCAGCCATGGCTCCAGCGAGCAGAGCTTCTTGGATTGTGGCGGCCAGCATTAGCGCTGTGGAAACACTGAAAGATCAAGCCGGTCTTTGCAGATGGAACTATGCTATGAGGTCTCTGCACCAAAAGGCAACAAAAGAAATGGGTTCTTTTTCACAGACAAGAAAAACACCTTCTTCTTCTTCTTCTTTGATGGTTGGAAGCAGAGGCTTGGTTAGCAAAGCAGAACAAACTAAGAGAGCAGAGGATTCCTTCAGAAAAGTCATGTACTTGAGCTGCTGGGGTCCAAATTAGGCAGTCGATTACGAGCGACAATAGAAAATCCAATAGTAGGATTTCATTAGATCTAGGATTTCGTGTATTTTTTTAATTTTACTGTATTTATCATGTTTAAATAAAAAATATTAATCTCGTCTAAGAAAAATTACCTTTGCAAGTATTTTGGATCAATCTTTGTAGGGCAAGTTGCCACTCATAAGCCTTCTCACTGGATGAGAATCACAGTTATGTTGATTTGCATAAAAAAAAATATTTAAATAAGAAATACTCCATAAATCAGCTTATATGTACGAAATTTACTTCATAAGGATTGCGTTCTCTGCGGCATCGAGAAAAGGTTGTTCATGCCCTACACATTGCTCAATTCAGCACTCCAACTTTTTTTTTACCTCTTGAAGGAACACTTGGACCTTTGCATGCAATGAGCTTCTGTGTACTTCAAAGGAGACAGATTTTGTTTTTGTTGGATAAGTGTTGGGGAATAAACCAACTTAATGCCCGTTCTTTCTCCTTTTTTTTTCTCTGAAGTGTTATGATTCTTGTCCAATATCAGACATTGCTTCGCCTGGATTACTCTGGGTCAGGAGAAAGCATTGCTTCGCCTGGATAAAATATTATGGTGGGAGTCTGGATGTAGAGTTATGTCCAAACTCCTCCACGTGAGAATCTGTAAAATATTATTTTCTCGCCTAAAAAATGAGGAATCCGACTCAACCCACATTGATTGAGATGTAAAGCAAGTAGCGTGTGTTAGAAAATCAATTCTACAGCTTCAAGTTTGTCTTAATCTCTTCTTTTAGGGTTTAATTCAAGGGTTCCTTCTTTTTCTTCTTGTCACCGTCGACATTTTGTGTTACAAATCGGAAGACACAAGCATTTGCAAACCATAGATACTGGCATTTCCAAATATTCATCATTTCAGTTACTCATTTCTACACTTCAAATGGCTCAAATCTTAATGTTCAATTTTGTCGCAAGTAAAGTAGTCATCTTCTCTTGGGTCGTCTTCTAGCGTAGCAAATAAATTTTTTTAATTCATACTTATCAGGTAGCCTATGCCATGTTCTATGTCATTCTTTTCGGATTCATTTGATTATTTTGAAATTATTTAAGTACACATGGTTGTACTAAAAGATTTTTTTTAAGTATAATCATCTTGTACATCATTGTTTACACATTGGATTTGTTATATGGATGTTTTTATGTTAAGTACGACATGCTTGTACTCATGGTTTTCTTTAATGCAACTATATTGGACATTTGATTAAACAAATAATAATTCATGTTGGATCATTTTTTATCAAGTAAATACATATTGTACTCATGTATTTTTAGAGTAAAACAATGTTATGGAGTATAATTCAACTTTTGATTGATTATCTAGATGATTTTTTATGAGTACAATCATATTGTACTCGTATTTTTAGAGTAAATCAATGTTCTGAAGTTGAATTTAATATCTAATTAATCATAGGTTTGATTTTTTGTCTTATACAACTATGTTATACTCATGTTTTTTTTAGAGTAGCCCAATGTTTTGAAGCTTGAAATGATTTTTGATAGACCTCATGGAAGATTTTTTTTTCAGTATAACCATTTTTTCCTAGTGTAAAATCATTTTATGAAGCATGTTTAGACACTTTATTGGCCCGTGGATGACTTTTTGTCCAGGACAATCATATTGTAACAATATTCTGATAACTGATTGTCATATATTTCACTTTTTATCAAGTACACATGTAGTACTCATATTTTTCTATAATAGAGTAATGTTTTGAAGCTTGATTGGATATTTGATTGACCTTCTAGTTCATTTTTTGTCTAGTACAACCATATTGTACTCATGTTTTTTTAGAACATATTTGATTTTTTTGTCCAGAACAATCATGTTGTACTCATTATTTTTTTTAATAAAGCAATGTTTTGAAGCTCGATTTGACATTTGATTGACCTCATAGATGATTTTTTGTCTTGCAGGACAATATTGTACTCATATTTTTTAGAACAAAAATTATTTTATGAAGCATGATTAGATTTTTAATTGCCCAATTGTTTGATTTTTTGTCTAATACAATCATATTACACTCATATTTTTTAGGAAAAAAATCATTTTATGAAGCATAATTAGATATTTGATTGCCCGACTATTTTACTTTTTATTCATTACAACCATGTTCTACTCATATTTTTTTAAAATAAAACAATGTTCTGAAGCACTATTTGATAATTGATTGACCATTTATTTGATTTTTTGTCCAGTACAATCATGTTGTATTCATTTTTTTTAAAATAGAGCACTGTTCTAAAACTTAATTTGATATTTGATTGACCTCTTGGATGATTTTTTGTCTAATACAAACATGTTATACTCATATTTTTTTGTCTAATACAAATAAGTACGAAAAATGATATACTCGGCTTGGCTCAATTACAACCCTAGCTGTGGTTGCTCACCCATGATTTACTCACATGTGTTGTTTCAGGAAAGGGTATGACTTAGGTTGAGTAGAGTCTTTACATTACTTGTGAGAGCCCAATTTTAGATTTGCAATATCTTTGAACTTTATTTTTGACAATCACGGTAATGTTTAGTTTTGTTTGATGATGGAAAGATTAAACCATGATTGCCTCCAACGTTACTCTTGTGCTTTCCCCCAAATTGCTCGAACTGCTCCTTATGTGTGATGATGAACTCGTCTGCAGTGATTTGGGCCTCAACAGGGTGCATAAGGTTAACATAAGAATTAACTACCTCTTGCATCAGTGATGAGCAGAAGGGTCCTAGGCGGAGCCCCACGAGGAAGACACATCTCAATAACTTCAGATCCATTCCCGAAAATTGACGAGATTTAGTGGAAAACTTGCGAAAGTAGCCCTTGAGCGACTCTCCTTCACTTTGAGAAATTTCTTAGAGTCGGGATGAATACTTGATAATCTTTGGTTTGTCATGAACTGCTCCACGAATAATCTGACAAGCTCATTAAAAGTGTTTACAGTGCCCCCTAGCAGAGAGTAGAACTAGGCACGAGCTTGTCCTTTAAGAGACTTGACACAAAAGCACATGTTGAATGTGCATGATGGTTCGATAATGATCAATATGCTCATAAGGGTCAATTATCTCTTTGTAGGTTTCGTTGTTTGAAAGCTTGAAGCCTAATAGGATGGGGCGTTGGAGAACCACATCCACTAAGGGAGAAGATTCATGGACATTACAGTGAGTGGGGAAGCGATCCTTTTTCTCTAAGAGGAAATCTTCCCGAATGAGGCGTTGTAACTTATTACGAATGACATCATCTGGAATGGAAGAAAGACGTGGCAGTGCCAAGTGAGTTGCGTGAGATGGATGAGTATAACTTATGGTATATAGGAACTCAGTATCACGAAGTGGTAGGGGAAGTATTTCTTCTTAGGGAAGGAGGCCGGTATGAGTTCCTCTGAGCAATGTGTTTCACATATGTCGCTGAGTTAGTGGTAAACGAACTCCATCCAATGGTGTGGGAAACAGTTGTTAAGTCAGGCGTAGGAGTTGTAAGATCTTAAGTTGATACTCCTCCATTATGCGCATTTGGTCTCTCAGAGAAGGATCTAACCACGTCTTTGTCTGCAGGATAGCTTTTTTCACGGTGGGAAGATGAAAATGAATGTCGCCCTTGGCTTCGTGACTGCTCCCTAAAATGATGTGAGCTAGAGCAGGATGCCCCGTTGTAACGAATATTATGTCTAGTAGCCATGAAGTAAAGCCAACAAGTATTTCAGTGGTGGGATTGAAGTTTCCCACAGGCGATGCCGAATTGATAGGTGCTAAAAAATTCGCGGCATTAGAGTAGAAGATTATCACCTTGGTTTGGTACAAAGATTCAACACACTTAAAAAAAAGAAAGCAACTAATAATGTCACAAAAGTTTTACATTGAAAACCCTGAAAAGGAAAAACCACGGGTCTGACCCAGCCAAAGAGCTCTATTATAAAAAGATGATTGCAGTTGCTATCACTTGTCCCACGGGCGAGAATGGGTTACTAGGTTTCACAATTTATAACATTGGTGTGTCGATGAATTTGTTGCTTGACGTCCGGTTAGTGGTGGGGGAATTGGTTGGCGGTGATCAATAATAGTCAGCGGTTGTCGATGGAGATTGACAATGATTGACGCAGTAGGCGATGGTCATCAAAGGTTAGTGGTGGTTGATAGTGGTCAATGGCGATCGAAAGAAGTCGGCAATGATCGGCGGTGGTCGAAGGAGGTTAGTGGCGGTCAACGACGGTCGACAGTGGTGGTGTTGGACTTCAACTCCTTCTTAGAGCTTCAATTTCTTCCTTAGATTTCAAACTCTCAACCTTCTCGTGAGAGGCGTGTGACTTTATTTAGTGTATGGGTGCAATTAATGCTGGAACATGAACAATTTTGATTGAACGATCCAGAGAGCTTCTTTCGATCCGACGACGTTTAATAGACATTTGACTGTCATGATGATGTCAGAATGGAGTGAACAAATTTTCATCATCCAACACAAATCTCGGGATGATATTTTAAGCAAGAAACATTCAAATCTTGATAAAAAGTCATCCAGAGCTCTGATTCCAACAAACTTATAGTCAAAGTAATCAGTTTGACGAGACAGACCTAATGATAAAAAAACTAGCCCAATCCAAGTCAAATCAAGTCCAGACCAAGTCATTAAACTATAGTTAGAAGATTTATGAATACATTTGGAAAGTCAAACGGCTGTCAAATATGACAAGTTTATACTCAAATCGAGTGGCTCAACAAGACAAATCCAACGAGCCCAAGATTACTCGATTCTGACATCATTAATGCACTCAAATGTCCATTAAACGCCGTATGATCGAGGGAAGCTCTCCTGACCGTCCAATCAAAATGGTTCATATTTCTGCATTAATTGCACCTATAACACTATAAATATAACCTCATCCCTCTCATAAAGGCTGAAGTCTAAAGAAAGAGCCTGAGACATTGAGGAGAAGCTGCAGCTCAGCATAACCAACCTCCGTCGTCGAACACCGCCGACCGCTGACGACCACCGCCCACCATCGTCAACTTTCGTTAACCTCTTCTATCTATCGTCGATCACCACCAATCATCATCAATCACTACCAACCAGAAGTAGTCAGTCGACACAGTAATCTGAAATATTGTAACTCTTTCCCGTCAATGGGACAAGAGATTTCTAATCATCAATCAATATTGAATTTTCGCAATTGGGTCTGATCCCGTGGTTTTTCCCTTTTCGGGTTTTTATGTAAAAAATTCTGAAGTCATAACCGCTTGTTTCTCTTTCATATCTGTGTGTTAATTTTTCGTATAATGCTACTCTACCGCCGTGAATTTTCTAGCACACATCAATAGTGTAGCCAATGTCATAGTATATTTTACTGAGGTGGTTTGAGTTCACTCATAAGCCATAAATTTAAACCACCGATGCATTATACCAGTCCCGTATTTCAGCGGCTGATGCTTCACACATAAACCAGGAGCGAGATGCTGGTTTTGATAAATCCACGTACTCCGGACCTCCGATATCCGTGGACCACTTCATTTATCTTTTTACGGGAAAGACTACTTCGTTTATCTAATGCCAAAATAAATTATATTTAAATCAATAAAGTTCCGCTACAGAGGCCATTATGTATATTCATAGATATTATATGACTATATCGCATAATTTAACATTTCTAATGCTTATCATTCAACTGTAGTTATGGATAAATTAATGAATATGGTCCTATACTCCCCCGGTAAGTAAACAGAACTTTTTTTTATTCTTGTTGTCATGTCAAATTATTTGGGAAGCATTCAATGCTGGGACCCACCTCTAGCAGCCGCTGGTAAATGGCGCCAGACATCAGTCTACTCTCAAAACCAGCAACGACTTTATCCTGCTCAATGTTTTGTATTTCATCTCCTTCTTAGATCTCAAGCTTCTATAAATCAATACCTTGGCTCTTCTTAGGCCCATCAACCAAACCAACCGAGCAACCAACGAACAACCAGCCACAGTCTTCTTCTTCTTCTTCTTCTTCAACCTCCTTTTTCCTCAAACCATCCAATTGAGAAGCAGCATCTTCTTCTTCTTCTTCTTCTTCTTCTTCTTCAACCTCCTTTTCCTCAAACCATCCAATTGAGAAGCAGCAATGGCTTCAGCGAGCAGAGCTTCTTGGATTGCGGCGGCGAGCATCAGCATGGTGGAAGCCCTAAAGGATCAAGGTGGTCTTTGCAGATGGACCTATGCTATGAGGTCTCTGCACCAAAAGGCGAGAAAAGAGTTGGGTTCCTTTTCACAGACAATAAAAACACCTTCTTCTTCTTCTTCTTTGATGGTTGTTAGCAGAGGCGTGGTAACAAAAGCAGAACAAACTAAGAGAGCAGAGGAGTCATTCAGGAAAGTCATGTACTTGAGCTGCTGGGGTCCAAATTAGGATGCTTTAGACGAGTCCAGCACAAGTAATTGTAGAAAATCCAACGACCTTTACTTCAGTTGATGGAATTTTTCGTGTATTTTCTTTTTCTTTTTTGCTTATTAATTTTGAATAAAACTATAAATATCATCTAAGATGAAACCCTTCTGGACCAATGTTTGTGGGAGAAGTACTGAATTGCAACTCATGTATGATTCGCGTCTTATCACTCCGTGAGATTTATACACACCTCCACTAGCATGACATAAAAAATATTTTAATTTTAATTAACAAAAAATAAATACTCAGAAAATATTCCTATATGTTCGTGCAAGCGATCGAAATGCTTAATAATTGATAAATACTTCATAAACTTTTAATTGACTAAAGTTATTTAAGAAAAATGAAGCAAGTGAAACCAAAGAAATCCTTGTAGTGCAAGAGTTATAGCATTGTGCCGCCATCAATATAAGCAATGATGTAGATTTTTTATTAACTGAACGCCAAATCTCTCTTATAATAGAAATCCCCAATTAAATAACCTTATAAAGGTCTAACTATATTGTCTATTTACTCCATCATTATCCCCTAACAATATTACTTAGTCTAACCTCACCTTATGACAAGTATTATAATGTTGAATTTTGATTTGTCCGGGAGCTCACATCACCAAGGAAAAAAGCTTAGGAGAGCTTTGAGCTTAGCTTAGTGAATAGGAAGATTGGAATGTGAAATGGAGCCTTTTTTTATTTGTAAAGTTTTAAATGCTATATAGGTAAAAACCCCAACCTTTTTTGGTAAAACCTTTGTCCATCATCTCGGTCATAGGATGAGTTTATTTTTTGGGTGGGTTCATCTCACGAGAGTTTCACCAACTTAGCTATGCAGTGAGTTAGGCTTCCATGACAAGTTTTCGAGCTACTTTGATTTGATATGATAGGTGCATGTTCATCACCATAAGCAAGCTATTGGCCATAACTCCTAAATTGAGTCAATCGATCGAACTTCTTTACCTAAACCATCTTTCGAGCTAGACACGTGGTCCACCTTTTCAATTTGAAACCATCCTAGGAGTTTTTAGGTACACAACTATAAATATGAACTTTGATGTATCGGCAAGAGGAGTTTTCTTTAAGTGATTAGAATCAATTTACTCATTTTATAGTTTTCACCTACAAATCTTTTTCTTTGATTGATCCTATTACCCAATATCTCATTTTAGTGAAGCTTAAGTTGCATTTTATATGCCTAGATCCTCAATCTCTTACAAACACATCAATCATTACATAACCATAGTTTATATTCAACAAATCTCTAGCCACACTCAATAATCATACCTTCACTTGATTCTATTAACTTTGTGGTAAGATGATCAACATCTTCATTGACTCCTCTAGACTTTTTGTTGAATGCTAGTAAGATTGCTTCCATCTTTAAAAATTTACCATAACAAGGGAGTTCTATAAAAAGTATTTTCAAAAATTTACTTCAAAAGGATTTTAAAGCATGAGAGCAAATCTTGAGTTATTATGAGTAGGGAAATCTTCATCCTAGATTTTATTATTCTTCATTGATGCAAAGGACAGTTTGTTCCAATGCTAATCTTATTCATATATTAAAAGTGATATAAAAACTATTATTGAGTCCATCGATGTGCATAAAAATAGCTAAATTAAATAATCATTTAGCAAATGTATGAGCTCTCTAGAAGTTCATGTATAAACATCTCAATTAAGAAAGCAAAAACAATCATTAAGATTAAAGTCATCATTCTCACAAGAATTAAAATGTGTCATCAAATAATCTTTAGTAAATATATCTAATGCTAATATTCTAATAGTGACCTAGAATGGTGGCCAACTCAAGTGGTTGATGCCATTAAAAATTTTAAATAGTGGAAATCAAACTCAATATTATTACTTCAATCACTCGAGAGATTCAATAAAATGATGTGATTATTTGAGAACAGAGCATAAGAGTTTGATACATTAAGGATATCTTTGTTTTTGTTTATAAGTGCACTTTATAAATTTTCAGCTTTAAAATAATAATAATAATAAACAAGTAGGAAAGTTATTGATTTTGTGAATATTATTATAAAAGTGCCATTACAATGGATCCATTCTCATGCATAAGAAAATATGCTTACAAAATTTCATATAAATTTTATATTATTAAATTAATGGGACAATATTTGTTTTAAGTTTTTATTAGTTATTTCAACAAAAAAGTAGGATAGTAATTACTATTATTATAAAGATTTTAGTTAATACATGTAGTTTGTGGATATTTAACCTGGGTTGTTATTTTAAATATTAGATTAACTCCTATAGAGCCCCAACCTCACTCTTATGATATTTATAATTCTTGAGGTTGTACTTCAAAATTTTGTATCACAACACCTTTTTTGGTCATCTTGGTTGAACAAATTTTACAATCATGGCTTATAATCTAACTTATGATAGTAGACACCAGATCAAACTATAACATAATATTCAATCAACCACTATTATATAAGTTTATGGTTGTTGCATATATCTCCTATTAAAAAAAATAAATATTATACTTAATGTTAATAGAGAAATTTGATTAGATCATTTTTTTGCTTTCCCTAGAGAAATTTTGATTTCTTCTATGCCTTTTTGTTTATCTATTTATGTTCAAGATCTTCATATGAAATTAGGACACAAAATTCTCTCGGAATTAAAAAAAATAATTACATTGAAAATATTTTATATTAATTATGATATAATATCAATGTACATTAACATAATGTAAATATCTTATAATTATGAAAGATGGCTTCGACAATCCCATAATAATTACCTATCAATAAAAGTAAAACAATATTTAGTCTTTAATATAGATGCTCCTTATCTTTCCTTGGAATCAAAATACATATATAATAAAGTGAGCAATAAGTTTAACATGCTATATAAAATGTAATAACAATTTTAAAGCACCAAAAAAATCTATGATAATAATCATAACATTGATCTTATCAAATAAAATATTAAAGTGTTGTTATATATATATATATTCATCAAAAGTATGACTACTACAAATATAAAAAAAAATATTATGTTCATGAATAATGAAATGAAATTTATAACAATATATATCATCTTATGATATGAGCAATCTACAAGATTAATAAAAAATAGTAATTATAATATGAGTCACACTTCTTCCTTTACTTCTTTCTTCATGTGACTACTACAGTTTTTTATATATTATATGATGGTATTTTTATTCTTCACACAATAATTAGGAGAAACCAATGAAAAGTATATATAACTGACTTTAAAAAAAATTCTTCATTAACCTTAGAAACAAGTTTAAAGCTATCGATTATCTAAAAACTTATTTCAATATAAAATTGAAAGTTAATTCAACTAATAATTAATTAAAACTAATATTTAAAATATAAGGAATTCTTCATTAACCTTAGAAACAAGTTTAAAGCTATTAATTATCTAAAAACTTATTTCACTATAAAATTGAAAGTTATTTGCAACTAATAATTAATTAAAGCTAATATTTAAAATATAAGGGTATCCATATAACTTACATTTTTTATTTGTTAAGAGAAGCAAAATATTTGTTCTCATGAGTATTTTGTTGCGCTTTTGTCTCATCATCATGGATGCTCTCTTCAAGATACTTTTCATATGTTTTCTCTAATTTTGGAGTAGCTTTACAAGCTCAATATTTCAAGGGTGACATATTTAATATTAGTGTTTTAAGATAAAGCTTTCTTTTCATAATGTCTTCCTCAATGTGCACCATATTTTCTCGTATGATAGGCATTCTATGGCTATTCAAAATAGGGTTTCCTCATTTTCAACAAATATCAACATGATAAAAATAACTCTATGATTCTCAAAGTTGAACAAAGTAGCATCAATAAAAAACATAGGCCCTAATTTTAAATATCTTTTATCACACTGTACTCCATAAATGCAATCTCTATGTTTATATTTTTATAGTTAATGTCACATATCCAGTTAGCTATCATTTTTGTTTTAGCTTCTAGTTATTTCTAGAAAATTCATCAAAATCTAACCCAATTATCCAACCAAACTCTATAATTACAAATATATTATCCTAATCTCCAAGGCTTAATATAAAAGGTGTATATCATTCTTTTCATCATAACATTTTTTTTTTAAAATAGAAGTTAATGACTTAAGGCTCTAGAGAATTGAAAATCAAGAGCACTAAAAAGTTGCTTAAAAGTTGATTCCTTGACCCTCTATATCATATCAAAACTTTCAAATTCTCTAATATTTTTTTTTTTCATCATAAACCCTAGTTTTGTATATGTGACAAGTGTCTTGCTATGTCTCCACACATAAATGACTAGTTTTGGATATATGCATCAACAATAAAGAAAATTAAATAAATACATTCCATACAATATAATAAGAAGAAAATAGATTAGAACTCATTTGAACTCATTTTTGAACCTCAAGCTCTAGTTCAAATTTATTGTGGTTCAGATAAGATTCAAAATATATTAAAAATAAGTGAATAATTACATACAGAGCAGTCCAAGTATTGATATTTACAAATCAAATACCCAGGTAATTTTTTAAACCACTGAAACTCTGGAATTTATGTTGGAACCTAATTTCAAGGACAAAAGAAGTTTGAATTCTATTAAAAAATTTCCACCAACATTTGAAATAAATTTATAACTTTGTTAAAAAACAATTATATCCTCCAGGAAAAAATGTTATACAAACGTCTACAAGTTCGGACGAAAAATTATTACATACGGACACCGTATGCAGAGATACATGAGGTATCCGATCTAGACCGTAAATCACGATGATCTACGATGAGAATGTAAATAATTTTTTTAAATAAAAATAAAAAAAATAAAAAATAAGATCCACCGAAATATATAATCACCGCTGTTCCTAAGCACTGGTGATCCCTCCAACTTATGTAATAATTTTTCCGTTCGGACGGCTTATCTGATTAAGGTGTATGAAATATTTTCTACCACCAAAGACCCGTATTTTTTCTCGCTGATTGGGAACTTAGCTGTTCCGGGGGTAACCTCCCGAGAGGAAGGCGCCATTCTTCTCAAATCAACCGTCGGCCATCAGTGGAATCAGAGGATTTTGTTCGATGTCTCCCGCGGCTATCTATTGCGCAGCGACTCCCCTTGGTTAGATTTCTTCTATCCTCGATTGCATCTAAGTTGCTGCTGCTGTGGTGATCATGTTCTTTTTGCTTGCATAACTGAATCCAATTTTTTTGTTGGCAAGAGTTGATTTTTGCCACTATCAGATTAGGACCGATGGATGACTGTGCGTCAGTATACCTTCCTATAGTACAACTCATTAGGTTTTCTGCTTTAGAACTTGTGAGGCACGATAAATGTTCATGAAAGGTTCTGTGAAATGTGTTTAGTTAATTGAAAGATTTGAAGTTGTGATGCGTCATCCTGAATTGATAGTTTTAACTGCTGGTTCCTTGGTATATAGTTTTATGAATTGAATCTCTTAGAAGCTGATTTCTTTCTAGGAAGCTTGAAAACATTTCAAACTTTATAATACAACAATAGCAAAAACAACAACAATAAACTTTTATCCCACTATGTGGGGTCGGCTACACGAATTCTTTTTCTCCGTTGCGTCCTATTGAGTGTCATATTTTCATTTAATTCTAATAAATTTAGATCATTTTTTATATGCCTTTTTTAACATAAGTTGAATCTGAAACATCTACTCATCTAATCGATGACCAAACCATCTAAGATTACTCTCTCTAATTTTGTCCGCCACTGGAGCTACACCAACCCTATCACAAATATATTCATTTTGCATTTTATCTCAAAGTGTAAAGCCACTCATCCACCTAATTATTCTTATTACGGCAACACTTAACTTAGTTTTATGCTTCTTTTTTAAAGGCCAACATTCAACGCCATTGAGCATTGCAAGCCTCACCACCATCAAATAAAATTTTTCTTTCAGTCTAGGCAGTACTTTTCTATCACAGAATAGGCCCGAAACATTCCTCGACTTCAACCAACCAACTTGAATTCTACTAATAACATCCTCATCTATATCAACATCATTTTGAACAATAGACCCGAGATATCTAAAGCCTTCACATCTTTTAATAATTTGCACACTCATAGTCATGACTTTGTCACTACAGCTACTACTACTAAACTTAGATTCCATATATTCAGTTTTAGTTCTAGTCAAATGAAGGCCTTTAGACTCCATGTAGACCTCCATAGCTTATGTTTTTTCTGAGCTTTCTCTCTAGTCTTATCCACGAGAAGGATTTCATCATCGAAAATCATACACCAATGTACATCCTCCTGTAAATGTCCAGTAAGAGCATCTATAGCTAAAGCAATATGATATGGGTTTAAGCCAATCCCTGATGTAATCCAACTGAAATAAAAAAAAATATTTCGCCAATCCTCATTTTGTTCGAACACAATTAACAACTCTAGTATACATATCTTTAATGACTTGAATATAAGTCATATCTACACCTTTCTTTTGAAGAACTCTCCAAAGGATATATCTTGGAATCTGATCGTAAGCTTTTTCTAAATCAATAAAAATCATATGTAGATCTTTCTTATTCTCTCTGACCTTCTCCATCAAATCTCTCAATAAATGCATAACTTTCATAGCAGACCTGTCCGACATAAACCCAAATTGATTATGAGAAATCTTTGTAATATATTTTAATTTATGTTCAATTACCTTCTCTCATAATTTTGAAGTATGAAACATCAACTTAATTCCTCTATAATTTGCACACTCTTGTGCATCCCATTTATTCTTAAAAATGGGGACTAAATTACTCTTCATCCACTCCTCAGATATTTTTTTAGTTTTAAAGTAGTATTAACAAGTTTAGTAAGCCAATAAACTCTCAAATATTCTATATATTTCCATACTTCAATTGGGATATCATCAGATCCTACAAACTTTCCACCATTGTTTTTCTTTAAAGCTTCATTAATTTTTTTTAAGTAATGCGATGATAAAAATCGGTAAAAATGAAATATTTTATTATTATTAACGTTATTAAGATCACTAAGTTCGATCATATTTTCAGAAATTTTATTAAAATATTTATCAAAATAACTCACTAACTTATGTTGAATATTTTTTTTTAGGAAAAACATTTTGATTTTCATCTTTAATACAACTTGAGTTAAAATTTTCATTTTCTTTTCTCTTTGTTTGACAAGTTTATACACATATTTTTCGCTCTCGACAGTATATAATTTATTATAAAGATTACTAAAAACAAAATTTTTAGCATCACAGATTGTTCTATTAGACTCCCTATGGATCATTTTATATTTTTCTCAGTTCTCTAAGCTTTTATATTTAAACCAAAATTTTTAATATAATTTCTTATAATTTTTTTTTCTTGCATATTAGTATTTCACCACCAACTATATTTATTTATAAAAATTTTTTGTTTATTCTCCAATTACATCTTTTCAATTGTTTAATAATATTTTCTACTTTATCCCACATAAAATTTGTTTTTCTTGTGCATCACAAATATTGAAATCTTAAAATTTGCTCGTAAAAATAATTTTATTTGTCTTTTAGGTGCCTCCATCTAATTTTACGATAACGATTCCTAATATTCTTTATTTTACAATTCTTCATCTTAAAATCTAAAACGAATAATTGATGCTGAGTACTTAATCCTCACTTAAAATGACTTTACAATTTTTATATTCTTGACGATTTCTTCTTCTCATAAGAAAATAATAAATTTATGTTTTATTAGATCCATTCTTATAATATGCTCATCTCTTTTTTTGAATAAAATATTTGGAATAACAAGATCATACGTTAAAGTAAAATCATTAGCCACCATGAATTTTTTAAAAATCTTCTACCACTTTACCGACATGTCCATTTATATCACCTCTAAAAATTTTTTTTTTCTTCCAAAGGTATCATTTGTATTAAGTCTTCTTGGTCATTCTAGAATTTATTTTTAGAGCATATATCTAAACATACTTGAGAAGCATTAACACCTATAATATTAAAAATCTTAGTATTATCAATAATCTTAAGAGCTGTAATTCTATCTCCAAAGCTGTGAATTTTTACAACATTATCTTTTAAACTCTTATCTATAATTACACCTACACCATCTATTAAACTCTTATCTATAATTACACCTACACCATTTCTAATGTGACTCTTACTTGAATACCAAAGTTTAAAACCTAATTTATCAATCTCCTTAGCATTTTCTCCAAACCATTTAGTTTCTTGAGTACATAAGTTATTTATCTTTCTATGAATCATAATATCAATTAATTTCATTAATTTATCTGTGAGAGTATCGATATTCTAATATTTTATCCTAATATTAGCTTCATGGACCAACTTCGTTACCCACTTCCGTCCGTAATTTGAGAATACTTGCTTATTTGACACTACATAAATTAAATAAAACTAAAATTCTGAAACGACAAATAATAATAATAGAATCTTCTTGGTTTTAATCATTTAATTGAAAATCATTAAGTTATACAAGCTTCGAGCGGGTTGTCTTGTCTATATAATGGAGCTTTAAGTCCCATTAAACCATTCTAATCCTCCTCTCATAAAAAATCTCACTTGACGAAATTGAGTGCTATTAAGCTATCCCGATCTTCCTCCATAGAAGGATAGAAATTGACAAGACTTATAGTTCTCTAAATGTTTGAATAATTGAATTCAATTAAAATTTCAAATATAATTGTTTAATCAAATCCACAATGATGGCTGTTTTGAAAGATGATTTTAATCGGATCGAGAGGTCTTTTTGTAAAGTGAAATGATATGCTAAAAATATAAACTCTCAATTAATGTTGTAAAGAAAAATCACAAGATTTAATTATTTTCGATTTTCTATCTTAAATAGAGTTGATAGGGTCATCCATACTGTGAATTTTCAACTAAAAATTAAATCATATATATAAATTTTGAACTTGATTCTTTATAAGCAAAATAGAGCCGACATAGTCCTAAGCCACTCAAACTCCTTGATGATGGTAGTGTTGAGTGTGAATCTCAACCATATGAAAGACTAATCATATTTATATTCGCTAAAGTCCACCTAGAGGCTCTCCCAAAAGTTCTCAAAACTCGCATCAATTCTCTTCTTGCAACTTACTAAGTTCTGAGGATATAATCACGGATAAAGTGGATATCTCTCCTATATAGGCATACTTCAGGTGTTTGGGTAAAGCCTTCATTTCTAGTTCAGGGGACTCTTCTATGGATGACACTAATAGTTTGGAATAGCCAGTAGTATTCAAAAGTTCAAACCTATCCCAATACACCCTTGGACTCGCCTCTAATAGTAGAGCTGATTCATCTTTACAGTTATTTCTATCATCCTCAATCAAAATCTGCCCTACTAGGTTAGCCTCAGAAGTCTTGTGAAATTGGCTTCTAATTTACCCATCCATCATATCTAATCTATAACAAGAGTCATCTCCTAAATTAGAAGAGTATTTAATAGATTTCAAGACATTAAATGTCACATTTTGATCATTTACCCTCATCGTTAACTCCCTCTTCTGAACATCTATTATTTCGCTATCAGTGTCTAGAAAATGTCTGTCTAAAATGATGGGATCTCCTTATCTATCTCTATATCTAAAATAATAATGTTAGCTGAGAAGATAAACTTGTCCACCATAACTAAGACATGCTCTATAACCCCCTTAGGATAAGTGAACGGTCATCCAATCGAAGGGCCAGAGTGGTGGACTAACAACTTAAAGATAGACAATGACATGGGGTTAATACTAGCTTTTAAATCACATAAGGCCTTACCGAAGAATCTTTCTTCTATGACATAGGGGATGGTAACTCTACCTGGGTCCTTGAGTTTCTTAGGAAGGTTCTTCTCAATTATGGCACTACACTTCCATTCAATAGAATTCTATAGGTGGTAGTTGGAAAAGGGAGAAAGAAGTTGCTAATCGGTTTCTTTCGATGGCAGCTCTGTGGAAACTGAAAGAGCTTTCCTCACCCTCTTGCTTTTGAAAGTGGAAGTTGTCCTTTCGATAGTTTCGGTTTGAGATCAAACTCCATTTCTAGTTCATAAATAAGCTCATCGACTTTCATCTAATTGATTGTACCAACCCACACATGTCTCTCCCCCTTC